AGCAGGCCCAATGCCCCAGGGCCCCGCTGTGCCTGGCAGTGCCTCTGGGCATGCGCAGAAGGCCTTCGCTCTAGAATTCCCAGGTTCAGTTGGTGGTGGTGGGGGGAATTCAAGAGGCGCGAATTGTTTGACGCCGTGCCATTCTCCCCCTGCCAGGACCCCCCCCATTAGATTGGCATGGCCCCCAACCCAAATCAAACCCAATTTTTCTCCCCCCCCCCTTTCCTCTTTCATTTTGAAGACGGCAAGCCTGCCTCGCAGGGAGGAATTCAATATCGCAAAGGAGCGGAGGAAGGAGAGTCGTTCTGCCATAGCAGCAAGTCCTTGTCATAACAACGGTTCGTTTAGTGACCGTTCCCCAGTCCCTGTGAGTAAATGGGACCCGTGACCGTTTGACACTTTCAACGACCGGTTGCAGCGGTCCATGGTCACCTGATCCAAATTCAGACAGATGGAAAGACTCGTATTTATGACGTCCCGGAGTCCATCTGTCCATCCCCCGACCCCGGTTTTGTGACCTTTTCCGCCAGGCGACATCAATGGGGGAAGCCGGATTTGCTTAATGACCTGGGCTACTAAACTTATCCACTGCTGCGCTTCGCTTTTAACGACGACGGCAAAAAAAAAAAGGGGGGGGGAGGGGTCCCAAGGGGCAGCCAACTGAACAAACATCTCGCTTAACAACAGAAATACCGGGGCTCCGTTGTGGTCGTAAGTCGAGGACTACCTCAACCTTCACAAGGGGGGGGTGGAGAAGGAGGCCCTCCCCTCTAAATCAGGGAGGGGGCCATGCTGCCCTGGGGCCAGTTGAAGCCCCCACCCACCCACTCACACACCCACTCACACACACACACACACACACACACACACACACACACACCCCTGCACAGGCAGCGAGTTCGAATCCTCCCAACACGAATCTCGGCCATTTCCGGGACATAGAACGTAGGGGGGGGGGCGTCGAAGGGACCTTGAAGGTCTTGTAGTCCAACTTCCAGCTTCGGCAGGACAGAGGCCCCTCCGTATCTGGACGGGCAAATTAAAAAAAAAAAAAACCCAAGCCCCCCTCTGAACTTTTAAAGTGGGGGAGGGCAGGGAAACTGCCTCCCCCCCCCCCCCCGGAATCTGGGACTCGCCCTGTGGGTAAAAAAGGGGGAAGGTCCACGCACACCAACCCCAGGAGAAGCAGAAAGGGGGCTGAGGGCGAGTTGGAGGGGCAGGGAGGAGGTTGTGCGTGCGCAGTGCGTCCAGCGGGGGGCCCCCCCGCCCCCT